ACCAAATTGCGCGACATTTTTGTAAGGAGTTGCCGCGCGACTTTGTCAAGCAGTCCTCAAGGTTTACTCGGTTTACATAAAATTTTACTAGTGGTTGTTTTTGAAAGTTGTTTTCAAACCTAGAATTGAATTTTATTGCGAATTCCATTTCAGCTTCGACCAAATACGAAGCAGCAGCTCGATGTCTGGACGCCATAACCTCATGGTACCGGAATCGCATTCGTTGGATTCGGAATCCCGGTTAGAATTGTTTGTTGTTGATTTTTGCTCGGGGTAGAATATCCATTCAATTCCGAGCATTTCCGCTGAGCTATCAGCCAAGATAGTCGTCCCAATAAGGAAATTGGTGGTGTCGCAACCGGGGTAATCGTCCGCTGTACGAGAGAGGCTGGGATTTCCATAGGGGCATGATGAGTGAACGCTGGGGGTGGTTGCAGTGGAAGGGAGAAGGAAGCGTTTCTAACGCATCTTCAAAAAAAAAAGGCATGAAGAAGGCGAAACTAGGTCTCCTGTCGTTTATTTAGACATTTTCCCTTCCCTCGCTTCGACAACAAATCTGGAATGGAGCGAGGAATGGGCGCAGTTTCAGTGTGTCAAGTGGCCTCAAAATCAGACCCAATAGAAAAAGCTGTTGTTGAGTGTGGTAGGCCGAGAGTTCTAAGTGGAACTTCCCCCGAGGGGGCGTGTGAAGGCCCTTTCAAGAGCATGGGTCGCAAAAAAAATTGTAATCAGCACAACAGGCGCTTATCCCTCACAGCTTCACGAGCCGTCTGTATGCAGAGAAGAGTTGTTACTGAGAGGGTCGCATCTCAAATTTATCTCAAACCCTGCTTGACCCTAAGGTCCCTGTCTAGCGCCAACGTTAGAAAAGGCGACTTAATCATGTAAGTGGGCAAGACTGAGTTTTTAGCGATAGTAGGCTAAGCGACAGTGTGAGTATAAACCCGGCAACTTGCTGGCCGTATCCTATCCTTCCCCCAGGGGGACGTGTCCCCCGCCGCTGACCCTATTCTACGTTGGTGGAGACAAGGTTGCGTCATAGGACCAGCCCTCTGCGTTTCTGGAGTCAGAACAGCGTGATCCCGCAGAGAAAAGAGTGCCTCAACAGAAGTGGGTAGCTGCAACATCACGCGTCCAATGGGGGGGCCTATGACGCAACCCTGTCTTTCCAAGCTCAGGATACAATCGGCGCGAGGACGCGTCCTGTAGTGGAAGGAGAGGACATGGCAGTTTTAGGTTAAGGCAACGCAGAGAGGTCATGCATATGCCTCCCGAGTGCCTCCTGCTGTGTGCAGGAAACTGATTCGAGGCGTTCGCTGAGTTGCGGACGGCTGGTGACGCGGTGAAGTTAGTGCGCGCTTTGCCTGTTGAAAGGAGAGCAAAAGCAGCGTCGCTGAATCAATTGGCGCGATGGGTGTACTTAGGTCACGGCGCGACGACGCGCAAGTAAGTGCGTCGTCGCGCCGTGGCCTAAGTACACCCATCGCGACAAGTTTTTCTCTTTCCCATTCTTTCCTAACAATCACTGCGCTTCAGGGAACGAAGCCGATCGGACAGCGACATGGCACCAAAAGAGGAGCGTATGGACACCTCTTTGCAATCGACGATCTCAGTACGTAAACTGGTGTTGCTTATTACCTCAAAGTGATGTCATCTTTAAACTCCCCCGTCTAGGTACCCGCTGCTACCTCACGACGACTCTCATCCGTTGGGCAATATAAGAAGAGATTATTGCAAAAATATCAGGAAGAGCAAGAGGAGCGGCAAGCGTCAAAACAACGTAGCAGTAGCAGTCCTCCGCCGAGTACCACCGTACGTTCATCTGAGCAGTGTGACTCAATGGTTCCTTTTTTGAACAATTATTACAATTCCTCTTGGTGAATATTCTTTACGTGAAACTGTATGCCATCCCCTACGACCGGCTCTATACTTCACATGACATGGGCGGTGCTATCCGGTGGGCGGGGCTGTATGGCGAAGGGTACCCCTAGGAGGCCCATCGCGCGGCAAGAAGGCCGAGTCGGCGGACGAGTCGCGGCGCGTGATGTGCGATGAAGGACGTGCAATGGGACATTCTATTTAACTTGACGCGATTTCCCTAATACGCGCGCGACTCGTCCGCTGACTCGGCATTTTGCCGCGCGACGGGCCTCCTGGGGGGCTGGAGGGAGGCACCCGAATATGGCAAATTAGAGCGTCAAAAGCTGCGAGACTTTTGCCACTTTATAGTTGGGAAAAGAACGGCACATAACTATAACTTCAATTCAAGGGCTCTAATCTCCCTGAAACAGTAATGTGGCCTCTTGAAGGCCTTGCTGCATTCGTCAGAAGAGCGGATACTTGTAAGATCCGGTATCGCTAAGAGCCAGTATCGCCATCCTTCGAAAAAGGTTCATGACCTTGTTTACACTCGGCGAAGTTCGAGCGTTTGTGAGCTGCTCTTAACGGATAAACTGAATTGGCTTCTCATCCAGGGTCAGGCGTGCGTTGAGGAGTCCTCGACAGGTCGACGGGGGAGGGGAGGGTCGTTTGGCCGGCTGGGGGCTGGGAGGAAGGGTTCGGGATGGTTCGACGGAGTGGAATCATTACTGTCGAATGACAAACATCAATGAGTGATCGATGCTGTGCAAGCTTTACCAGAGGGATTCCAATGACGGTGTTATACCGCCCACAGAATATTTTCGTGGTTCAACGGGGTCCGCGTAGTAATTCCAAGCTACCTTACGACAAAGTTAAAGAATCCGAAATTCGCACGTTTTCCAACGGATATTTTATCTTTCAAATGAGTCCACCAATATGAAGGGATGTGAAGCACACGGCGCGTCCCAGAGTGGGCCCAGTCACTTGCGTCTTCGAACAACGGCTCTTTTAAGAAGAAATCTCGACCAGGAAGGAGAAAGAGAATACTAAAAGGGGCTGTGTAAAAAGACAAGGTGAATCTATTATTCAAGTAGAAATGCAGATTTCTGCGTCAAATTTATGAAAATATAATCAATAAGGTAAAAATCAATCAATTAGTAGTAATCAATCAGTAAAATAAGAAAATTGGAACTTGCTAAAAGTTTCTACACTTACTGGGAAGAAAAATCTTACTGAATTCGAATCCGCTTTCATTTCTATACAGAACCATCCCTTAGACGAGCAATGGTCGCTGAAAGAGTGCGAATGCAGCGGATGAGAACCTCTAGGCGATGCTCCTGCAAATATTCTCAACGGAGCCATTTTCGAAATACTACAAATCGAGTTATTTCAATATAGGTCTTGTAGAGCAGATCTTGCAGTTAAACATGCTATGTTAACTTTTATGCTTGGAGGAAGCTTTAGCCTTGGAAATTGTAAAAACTCGCGCTCAACAAGGGTTTTCCTCGTTAATCAACGTAATTATGGCACTTCGTATTGATTCCCGAAATTTCAATAATACAGTGCGTTTCATAAGTATAGACGCACCCCAAAATCTTACACGAATAGTTTCAAACGGATCCATAGGGTAACATAATGGCACTAGTAGGAATCATCGGAGAAATAGTCTCAGTTACAATACGTCTCGTAGTTATGAGAAATTTTTTCGAGGTATATTAGGCATCGACCCTGTTGCCCAACGTTTCATAAGTATAGACGCACCTTTAAGACACAATACTTTTATTATGAAACCAAAACAATAAAAACTCCTTAGTAATTAATTGTTTCTTAGTACTTCGTAAGATAGAAGAAAGAGTAGATTTAACCATCCGCTGAGCAGTTATACGACCAGACGATTCCATTCCTGACTAATCACCACTCTGAGGTCGGTCACCTAAGTCCCTCTGTGATGTTAAATAT